TTAAAGAATTCTTCAAACTTTCATCCTTTATTCTTGTGTGCATAAACGGATCGTAAGATGTCATTAGCTCCATCTGTCTCGAATGATTCAGGTATCCATTTTGCCACCAGAGCTCAAGGGCTGATTTCTCCAGGTCAACTGTCCTTGTATTATTCAAACATACCATCTGGTCGGTGCAGTCCTGGAGGCAACTTTTCTTGGGCTGGGTAGAACATTTTCCATCTTTAAAGTGGAAGTGACTCGTAAATTGGCTTTTCCGGAGACCGAAGGAGAATTGTCTTGCAGTTGTGACTTGAGATATTTACGAATTAGCCCTTGATGACCCTAGATGATTCCGTGTTGAACTCTTGTCTATTCCGCCCTGACGAACATTCTAAATTGGTGTGACGACTTTGATTTCGTAGGAAATTGTATGACGTAGAGATTTGTTGGCTTATCTCGTCGGAAGATGATAGTTATGCTTACGCAGTCCACGAGACATCCTCCCTTTCTACGAGTGAAAACTGGCTGAGTTTTTGCTGTCATGTGGCATCATCAGAGCTGGAATTCATTCAAAAACCGAAAGTCTCCACAAGTAAATTGTCCAAAGAGATTTAACGAAATCCATTTCTTCTTCGTGAATCTATGCTAGCAAGTCCGAAGGATGTGTACTTCAGCTTTTGGTGGTACGAAACCCTTCTACTCGCCTTTTAGAACGAAATCACAGGTACCAAAACATAAAACATTGGAGGAAGCCTTCGAACCCCAGTTTCTCTCCACATACGCGAAGTGCAAAGATTTCATTGGTTTTCGTTTTTGGCACACATCATTGGGGCTAAATACCCCTTTCTTACAACTACTGCGAGCTAAAAAGTCCACAATACTTGATGTCTTTATTCTATATAGCAAAGAAAATACATAAACATACAGGCATGGGTACCAGTTTTAAAGCTGACTTATGATGTGAATGAGTAAAATCATGATACACCTCTAAAAATGACGAGACTTGGAGTACCTATGTACAGCATTTAGGGGCAAGCCTGTGAAGGTTTTCTACTCGTTAACTTGAAGTAGTCGAAAGAATGGTACCAAGGTCCGAAGAAGCCTGTTAAGCGTCATGATAAGCAAGAAGAAATGTTGCACAATTTCATTCGAACTGAAAGCCAAGAGATTCATCGAAAAGCAGCTCTTTTGATCGTGCCTTCATCGTCCCATTTCCGAAGAATGCTTGTTCTTCTTCATACATTTTTGTAGGTTCGATTCCTCCAAAATCTGTTGACGTAACCGTCGATAGGTTTGAGGATCGAAAACCGATCTTATGACTGTACTTTGAACAGCCCGCCTATTCACTCCTTCATGGGCAGAACGAAGCAGCGAATGGCTCGAAATGAGATTCTCCAAAGCGTTGTCCATCTCCCGCTGAGGGTGTTGATAAGACCAATGCGAGGTCGAAACTGCAGTCCACCCAGGATGAGAACAACT